CTGCTCAGCGGGAAGCCTGCTTCTCCCTCTCCCACTCCCCCTGCTTGTGTTCCCTCTCTCGCTGTGTCTGTCTGTCAAATAAATAAATAAAATCTTTAGAAAAAAAAAAGATAAGAGCATGACAAGAAACATGTCACATTCTTTCTTCTAAAGGCTGAGTTAGCGGAACATCCATCTCCACAGATAAATAGTTTTGTGAGAACTGAATCCAGTTGCGTAATCCCAACTCGAATCATAGGAGGGTCTTTCTGGAGGGAAGAGATGTCACTTCCTCTCTGGCAACAAGCAGCATGCTCTGGAAAGTTCTTTTGAGGAATGAGAATCAACAGCAGCCTCTTTCGTTACGCATTTCCTCGCAGAGTTTGTAAGCATTTTTGAATCCCGCCACAATAGTGAGTCAGTGGGGCAAAGAAGTGAGGCACACTTTAAGAGAAGAACTACACTGAAGTCCAGAGAGAAGAGAGACAGGAATGTTAGACCCTGGAGAAGCTGAGTAACTTTATGGAAAAGTTGCAGTTTCACTGGGACTGGCTTTCATTTCACACTAAGGGAGCAGAAGGCCAGTTCTGCTGCAGGTCTGCGAATCCCATGGGCCTATCCACAAAACATTTTGCCATTGGAATGAACAAAGCCTCCTGTCACTGACAATGACAAAGCAGTTTGGCTATAATAACTGTCCTACAGCCTAGGGATCTCCATATGAAGGGGTTTGTGATGGAACAGATCTCCTGGAGTATATAATGTAATCTGATCATTTAAAGACAACTACCTGCCTGTCCCCATTAGGGGATGGGCTATTTTTCTTGACCAGTGAAGAGACGCTACCCACTTTGGTTAACAGAGAATCAGAATATAGTAAAAGGCACAAATAGCATGGGAGAGCCTCTAATCCTGATAGTTCAGGATCTTGTCATGCCACAGGGTCATCACGGGGGCGATGGCCAGGTGTTGTAGCTCAGGGGCCCTAGCGGCAATGATATGGTGGGATCCATTGGTCAGTAGACCTGGGCGCTAGTCCCCACCCCGCAATTAGGTACCCTGAGACCTTGCTCAGATCTAGCAGAACCATAGGTCATGGGATGAGATGCTGGGGAGGGCATTGTGTCTAGATCTTTGCCTCAAGGAGCTAGGGATTTTGAAGCGAGGCAGTAGTTGCTCAGCAAGAGTAAGTCAAGTGCACAACGTGGGGAGTGAGAAGAGAGAGTGCAGGCTCCCAGCCAGCAGACCTCACGTCACCACTTTGCTTCTGAGCCTCAGTTTCCTGTCTTTAATGGGCGTGGACCCATCAGGGTGAGTTTAGCACGGTGTTCCGAGCACAGGGAGAAATCTCTGCGGGTTAAACGATGAAATGTAGTGCTGATGACTTATATTTTGAAGGCACATTGTAGTTGATAGTGCTTTCATCGGCATGATTTCACCCTGCCGAGGACTCATCGAGTGGGGTAAGCCGTGGGATTCCTTATCCACTTTCTACAGATGCCTCAGCTGACACTCAGCGGGATGCAGTGGCTTCCTCGAGGTCATATCAAGGTCAGAACCAGGGCTCAAACTCCTGCCTTCTGGTTCTGAACCCAGGGTTCCTTTCACCACAGAACGATAGATAATGGAGAGTTTATTCTATTTATCATTCACTTTTGTGACAGTGGCGTCTTCTGCGTCACAGCACGGTAAAAATAGACTGTGAGGGCAAGGAGGTTCTCAGTAGCAAACAAACTGAGCTCACCAAAATGTTCTCGTGGGCAGGCTCGGTTGCCGTGGCCTTTAGGAAAGCCTTGGCAGTCCTGTAGCGGGCAATGTCACCTACTGGCTGTGCCCAGCCTTCCCTGAGGAGCTGCCTCTTGCAGGCACTGCCCTGGAGGACACAGGGCGGGGGTGGGGTTGGGGGGTAGGGCCTGAGAGGAGGGTTTCTTCTGAGGTATGGGAACCACCAACCTGGAGCCCGTCCCTGGTGAGGGGGCCAGACTGTTTGTCCCACAGTAGCAAGCTTACTGTGGTTTTGGCACACAGAAGGAGAAACGGCCTGGGGAGCCTGGGCTTCCTTTGCCAACTGAGGATTTTCTGAGAGGCAGGAGTAAGGAGAGCGACGGAGTATGAATGAGTAAAAGCAGCAAGGCTGAAGAAAAAGCCCCATTTTCGTTCACTTAAAGATAGTTTTTAATTCCCCCTACCTCTCCAAACGATTAAAAAAAAAACATTTATACATGCATGTATATGTGGTTAAAATACAGATAAATGAGGAATTAGGAACCATACAGAGAAAGTTTAACACTGGCAGAGAAACACAACCACTTTGACTTTATAAGGGAGACAACGCATTTTTGTGAAGATGCACCACGAGTATTCTGTGTCGTATTTTGAATATTTTTCCTGTTGAAAATATCTGGCGAAGGGAAAATGCTTTACATTATAGCAGAAGAACTTAGAAATTAGACATTTTCCCCACTTGGAGGAAGTCTTTCAAACCAGTAGTCCTCATCCTTTTAAAGTCATGGATTGCTTTGAGAATCCCATAAATACCATACATTCTCTTCCCCGAGAAATGCAAGCCCTTACAAATTTAACTTATGACTTTAGGTCATATAAACCCCCAAAGCCCATCCACTGACGTTAGGTTAATAACCTCTTCATTGAAAAAATTCAAAATTAATATTTTATGAAACAGTTTTTCCCTTATAAAAAGATTGACCGCATGCAATTGAGATGGTTATAATTAAAATGTAGGTATACTTCCAGCATCACACAAAATATTCTGATTTCTGTGAAGTGCCGTAGCCTATAACATTTGTATTTTACATCACTAGTCACTGCACATTCACTTATATGTATATATATTTTTAAGTAAGCTCTTCGCTCAACGTGGGGCTCGAACTCATGACCCTGAGATCAAGAGTCACATGCCCCACCGACTGAGCCAGCCAGGGGCCCCCACATTCACTTATAATTTTATCTTACCTTTTTACTGGTTCTTTTAAAGATGCTGTGTAGTGTCTACTCCATTGTAATTTCTATCTGATAACATGTGATATTTGGCATAATAAGGAAAATCAGCCTTCACTGTTAAATCAGTTTTGATTACACATAGAATATGGTATATAAAATAATATTTTAATATATACAACAGCCCACACGCCATCAATAAGATCTCATCCTTCAGACTTGTGAATTCTGGGAAAAAATTACTTCCACATGTTTCTAAAACTACTTAAGATTTTTGACTGGTTGGTGGTCTATTGATTCTAAATATCTGACCTGTCAAAACGCCATCTTTAAATTCCAGTGATGCATAGAGGCTCGGAATTAGCCAGGGCTGAATTTATTACAGAACAAAGGGAGGTGATGATTAACACACCCATCTGAGCAATAGGGGGGGCAAATAATCCTTGAATGGATTAGATGCCATGATCCTAAAACCACATTCTCTGAGTGTTGAGTCCTTGCCCAGAAATGGGGAGAGACCAAACACTGATGCCTTTTAAATGAC